CTCCACCTCCACCCCTGCCTTCATCCCCAGAGCCATCTCCATCTCCAAACGTCCTATTTTCAAAGTCTTTGGCGGCATCCGACAGTCTCAAGCCGGCATTGGAAATCTCCCTCATGGTCACCTCATGTTTTGATTCTTCTAGGTCGGCAGTTGAGCTGAAGACCATGGCATTCTCATGTTCTTCAAGCCATCCTGCCAGCTCTCCAATCTCATATTTCACAAGTTCGATTTTGTCGCGAACTTCTTGGCGATTGTACAGTTGGCGAGGCATGGTGATGTCCGCGTTGAAGATTCCGATGCGTATGAAGAAGCTCCAGTAGAGTGGCAAGTCCGCAATCCAGGGAGCAGAGTCCTATTGTTATACATCTGAGCCCAAATATCATCAAGAAACAGTAGGTCCATACGACCAACCTTTCAAACATCAAAGCAGCAGAGAGTTTGATAACAAAAGTCTCACCAAACCCGTCTATCAATGAAATGAAAAGCAGCCACGAGAATCCGTAGCTTTGAGTCAGTAGCTTTGAGGCCTTCAAAGGTTTGGAAACGGGCAGTGATCTACCTCCTTCAGCAAACAAACCCGGCGGCCTGAGAATGTGAACTGACTGATTTTCTCCCGCAAATGAGAAACCGAGAGGATATTCACTCTTCAAAGAAATGGACTGATGTGTATACATGTACAGTCGTGAACATACCGTGATTTACCTTTCACGCATCAAAGCAAGACAAAGAGAGTAAATTCGAGCAAGTCCATCGCATTTCAACATGAGCATGAACATTTCAGGCACTACCCCCTTCAAACTGGCAAAGCAACGAATTGTGGCAAGACTATTCCGCTCCGCCCTTCAAGCTAAAACATGACAAACCAAGACAAATAAAGATTTTATCGACCTATGATCATGAGTATCTCGAAAGTTCTACAATACCTACCTTTCACATCTCCAAAGAACCGGGAACTGGCAGTAGGGTCTTGATTGACTACCTGTAAGCACTATCCCACAAGCAACTACAGATATCCCGAACCTAAAGTATGGGTAGCTACATGAGTGCTCCACATAAGAACCATACCACCTTTATGCATCCCCTACTATCAATCTTGACAAAGCAATCCACCCGCAAACTATCTGTCGCATCAGATCTCTCCTCCATTGCCACCTTGTACGTGGGCGGGCTGTGATATCGAAGCCTTTGATGGGTCGACGTAGCCTTTGGATCTCTTAATCGTCCTTTCAATCTCACACGAATGTAAGGTGCCGAATGAGAGCAGCTGGTGTCTTCCACGGCTATCCGTTTCGATAAGATATATCCATGTTGTCCAATGCATTCAAGGACCTCTCAAAGAATCGATCAATCGTAGCCGCCGCCAACCTGGCTAGCAAACGCAGTGGAGACACTCTTCTCATCATCGTCCAAGCGGCGACCGCTCAACAAGGAACTACTTCCAAAAACACTCCCCGCATCACCGGTCTTGTAATCCGCCATGCGACCACCAGACTCGATGTAGCGCTTCAGACGGTCAGATTGACTTAAGCTAGTCTGCTTCTGCGCATCGCCAAGACCGGCACCTAAGCTAGCACCACCTTGACCAATGCCCTTGCCATCCATCATGCTGCTGGTTGCATCAGTGAGCTCGCTAGCTGCGACAGATTCGCCCGCAATACTCTCCGAGCCACGACCCCTAGCCTTCTGACCATTGTTGCGTCCTCGAGGATCAAGACCAGGCCAAGAATCACCGTTGAAGTTGGAGAACATCTGAGGGTAGGCAGAACCAATCCCAACACCACCAAGAGCAGAAGAATGGACCGAGGAGACGTCGTCAGGGATGTAGCTCATCATAGAGCCAGCATCGAATTCTTGATTGCTCTTACCATTGACTCCAGGATGTCCATTAAATGCCGAGTGAGCCATTTGGTAGCGTTGAGGTCCGCGGTAGGTTGCCTTGGGGCGGCTGAACTGAAGCAGAGAGGTCTGCAGGTTGGAAAGTGGGCCTTCAACGAGACAGTTGCGTTCCTTGAAATGTTGCAGGAGGTAATGCCAAAGTGGGTGCTTGGACAGGACTTTGGGATTACCGAGAACAACAAGTCCGTACTTGGCACGAGTCAAGGCTACATTGAGTCGTCTGGGATCGCTCAAGAAACCGATACCCTGGTGGTCGTTGGAACGAACGCAGGACAAGACAATGAAGTCTTTCTCTCTACCCTGGAAAGCATCAACGGAAGCAACTTCAATCTCCTTGTAGCTCTCCTTCTTGAACGTTCCCGTATTCTGCATAGAGCTGACAACAAATGATCGTTGGCCCTCGTATGGAGTAATGACACCAATGTCTGCAGGCTGAACGCCAGCCTTGAAGAAACGAGTGACAATCTTTTCAACGTTGGAGGCTTCAGTTCGATTGAGGTATGAAGTACCGGAAGCTGAGATTTCTTCGTTGCCGAGATTAGACCAGAACATCATGGGAGAATCGGCAACGGGCCATGGGAAGTCGACATCACGGCGAAGTCTCTGCGCCATGGTAACACCATTCTGAAGCGAGCCCTCGTAAAACATGTTCGACGGGAACTCGGAAAGACAAGGATGCATACGATACTGGACGTTGAGGCGAATAGGGTGCTCGCGCAGAATGACCAGACGTTCGAAGAGGGATTGGTTGAGACCAGCTTTGGCAGCCTTCTTATTCATTATGACTGGACCCAACTGCTGATGATCTCCAACCAACACAACTTGTTTGCATCCAAGAACCAATGGAATCATGCATTCTGGCTCGGCTGATTGGGTGGATTCGTCGATCAATACAGTTCGAAACTTCATCTTGGCGAGGCGAGGATCACCAGCTCCAACGCAGGTACAGCAAATGACATCTGCGTTGCTCAGAATCTCACGCTCTGCAGCGCGGGTCAGAGTCTTGAACTTCTTTTCATCCTGGCTGGACAATTCGCCAAGTTCGCTCTTCAGCTGGGAGAGCTTGGTCAGTTCGAGATTGCTATCATTCATGCGAACCTGCTCGTGAAGAGAGAGGAAGCCAACTGAAGATTCAACATCCTCACGCGACTTGGCTGTCAGACGAACGACCTTCAATCCAGTACGGTGTATACGCTCGCAGAGCTGATCAACCGCAACGTTGGATGGTGCACAGACAAGGACTTGACCTCCGTTGACTTTGGCAAGATGGTAGATGATGGTGGCTGATGTGACTGTCTTTCCGGTTCCAGGTGGGCCTTGAATCAGACTGAGAGGCTTCTGGATGACACTCTTGACAGCATTGATTTGACTACTGTTCAATTCAGGAAGACCAGGAACACTGAATTTCTTGGGCATCTGAATCTTCATAGGGGCTGCCGCGACTTCGTGGCCGAGAAGCTTGTGGAATATGTATCCAGAAACGCTCATCTCGTCAACAGCGAAAGTCTTCATGGCGAACTGCATGCGATCATACGAAGTGGCCTTCCAAACGTAATCGGCTGAGAAGTTGTGGGTACATTCCGTAGGTACAGACTTGTCGTTGCCAACCTTTCGCAGTTCGATCGTGACCTCGTCAGATTGGTTGTTTGGAATCTTAATGACATATCCCACACCCTCCCAAACTGGTCGTAGCTCTCCCTTATACTTCAGGCGCATTTCATCACCAACTGCAAGCTTGACATCTCCTAACTCAATCTTGGGAAGAACAAAGCTGGCTAGATGCTTGTTGTTGAGACCATAATCCCATCGAATGACCAAACCATCCTCAGATTGAGCTTCCTTCAACTTGCGATCGTAGTCTGCCTCGATCTTGACAAGGGGGCCAAAGACATTCTGGTACTGGTATGCATCATCGTATTTCAAGAGAACAGGAGCTGGCTCGTCATCGATTCCAGCGGCCTTCTCCAGATCAGCAATGGTAGCATTCGCATTGTCCTTCCACATCTCCTCCAGCTTTGCGATGTTTGGCGGGGTCAAATGTCTCGCACGAAGCTGCTCGGCATCTGTAGGCACTGATACAAGCCAAGGCAAGAATGAGCGATCTTCGATTAGTGGTTGCCATCTTGAAATATCCCAACTCATATCCTTCGAGGACGGTGCAGAGGCGCAAGGTTGGCGACAGAGGAGTACAACAACCGTGTCGGATTTTGCAGGAATGAACCCAAGCAAGAACACATTCTTTGTACCACAGTTGTAACATTCGAGGACCGTATCTCCGAGCGTGGAAAGCGGATGAAGCTGGACTTCCTTGTGTCGCGCGCGGACCAGATGGTTGACGATGTGGGAAGAAGTGGCGTTTCCTCGAGCACTGCAGAACCACTTGCTACATCCTAGACACTTGACGACGCAACTTGGGGAATGGATGCCACAGTATCTGTACCAATTAGTTTTGCCGTGATCCGTTTGTCGGAGGAGAGAACTTACGCGCAAGCATGTGCTGGAAGTTCCTTCTCGTCCTCCACTCCTCTGAGACCCAAAGTCTTCATTCCCTCCACTGGCATACTCGCCAGGCTCTCGGAATCATCATCGTCAAAAACTTCAGTCTCGTTGTCATCGTCGTCGTTCCGTCTCCTAGTGGGACCTAGACCACCACGTCCTCCATATTGGCCGTAAAGAAGGCTCTCGTCCGGGTCGATATTGGAGAGGTCGTCGGCGCCAGCGTTTATTGCAGCGGCAGAGTCGGAAATGAGATGGTTCCCGAGGTGGGTGAAAGCGCCTTCCATTGTAGGGATGAGGATTGTTTTGACTGCTAGAGGGAAGAATATGATTAGTTAGTCCAGGACGATTAGAACAGGGAGAAGAGGAAGAATAGAGTGCAACCGGCCGTGGAAAAGGTAAGGCGTCGGCAGAGAGGAGAAGATGGTGGCACTGGAATGGGGTTTCCTTACTTTTTTGGATTTGAATTTGTTCAGCAGCCTCGCCTTCGCCTTGTTTGGTGGGTAGGCGTGGCGCGAAGAAAGAATTTTGTTACAGACGCGCCCGTTCGTCCTCAAGTCATTATCGATACAGCACGAGGTTCTGGGCAAGTTGGAATTCTTGCGCAGATGCTTTTCCTGGTGAGGGTGTTGTATTTGTATCTTCGCGGTGGTGGTGGTGGTACAGGTGGTGGTGGAAGAAAATGTTGGTGTTGCAGGTGGATTGAATGTGGGATGCAGAAGAGCCGCCCGCCCAGGGGCGGAATGTGTAGCGCGGGCGGGCAAAACCTTGTCAGAGTTTTATATTTTATATTTTTATTATATCGAAGAACTTCAATCTTTTGCGCCGACAGCTCTACACAATTATGAATGTAAGTATCTCACTCCTACTTGGTATTACGTGACGGGGAAACAGATTGACAACAAAACCTACACCAACCAAAATATACTGATTGCAACTGCTCCCGTATACAAACTTCATAGCTAACCTGCCGCAGCGCAAGCAAGCCCGCCAACGAAAGGACTACCTTTATCGACGGGCCCTCACCCTCCAGCAAGCAGAGATTTCAGAGAAGAGAGCAAAGCTACGAGCCTCTCTAGCCTCCGGAAAACCATTAGATGCTGCGATTGCCAACGACAAGACGCTGCGGGAGGATTACAAGTACGATGAATCAAGACCCGATTTGACGGCAAATGAGGAGCTTGATTTGGACGATGAATACTCTCAACTGTCTGGAATTGTTGATCCACGAGTGCTCGTAACAACCTCAAGAGATCCTTCCACCAGACTATCCTCCTTTGCCAAAGAAATCCGATTACTGCTACCAACATCGATACGACTAAACCGAGGAAATTTGATTCTTCCAAATCTCGTACAATCTGCACAGGCGTCGGGACTTTCAGACATTATTCTGCTACATGAACATCGAGGCACACCGACGGCTTTGACTCTTTCGCATTTCCCACATGGTCCTACAGTGTCATTTTCCCTGCACAACGTTGTCCTACGCCATGATATCCCCAACAGCTCCAGAGGGACCGTCTCGGAATCATACCCACACCTGATTTTTGAAGGCTTCACATCTCGGTTGGGACAACGAATGGTCAAGATATTAAAGCACATCTTCCCACCAAAGGAAGCCATTACGAACAAGACAAAGCTGGGTAGCAGAGTGGTAACCTTCAAGAATATTGAAGATAGCATCGAGGTACGGCATCACGTCTTTGTGAAAACGTCGTATCAGAGTGTCGAACTGGCAGAGGTTGGTCCAAGGATGACGATGAGGTGTTTTGAGATCAGGGGTGGAACGTTGGAGAACAAAGATGGCGATGTGGAGTGGCGGTTGAACCAGTATACCAGGACCAGTCGAAAGAAGGATTATTTGTGAACTAGGAAAAGTTATTGCTGTTTAGCGCGGAGTTGGGGATAAAATGTACCTGGCTGAGTTACCAGCCTCGCAGAATTTCTACGAGTTCCATCCAGCCTTCGATCATTTCTTTGACGTACGGTACAACCCAGACTGTGAGAATTACTCGGTGTGCTTCGTCGAGCATGGGAAAAAAGATTGGGAGAGCAGTGAAGAGATGCATGGATATTCTTTAGTGAGGAAGTCAACGGGGCCATTCCTCCATCCTGACCTATTTCATCGTTCACTTTCCTTTGACTTCTCATGCTTCAAATGGTATGCTGGGGAACACGCAAGCCATGGGTATAGGTACAGCACATATGTCGATGCTGATGCTCCTTTGTGTTTGTGTTTCCCTGCTGCATAGTGAGGGCAAACAACTCACACTCTGGTTTCATCTGTAAATGCATGTTTATAGATCCGACACCAAGGATCTAATACCACAAACTGTTTGGCTGGTACATACATACTTACAGATGTATTTCTCGCAAGCAAGTGCATACGTAACAGATTTGACTGGGGGTTTATTGCATAACCCGGAAGGGCTCGATATCATCTGGTCGACATCATACTCGGTACATTTGCCTACATGACTACGGCTCTTGATCTAACAACACCACACCACTGCATCAATCATGTGCCTGCATCTAAATATAAAAACAGAATACGAGTAAATCCCTGTAATTAATTATATACCCACGTGATGGGCTAGATCGTGGGGTTCTCCACTACAGGCCCTCGAGACCCTTATCTGAAGAATGGCTTGCCTTACGATTGGCTTAGCGAGTTACCAACAACTGCAACTGTGTCTTTCATCCCACTGCTGACAGCCATACTTACAGCCTCGTGCATAAATCACATTTACCTTGCAATAATTACCTAATTAGCTAGGTATATCTTCATATTAGTACCGTGTGGATGTCTCACAGCAATCATCTGGCCCCAATCAGCGCAAATGCACAACGAAGAGCTGTAACGCCCGTCTCCCCATCCAGGACTGTCTCCCTCGAACCAAAGCACAACGGTACCTCCGAGGAAGAAGATCCCCTTCAAACCCTCCCGGACGACGACGATTACAGCGATTGGGACGTCGACGTCGATAACGAAGGCAAAAACATAGATATGGACGACCGACGCCCCCCTCTCCACCGGCCGATGGATGGGCGCTCTCATCAACCTCTCCTACGCAAGGACTCTGATCTCGAAGCACGCGGGCGTAGTAGAGGAAGTGGTTATAATTCTCCCGAACCTCCAGAACGGCCGCCCACATTCTCGAGGCGATCTACCATGCGTAGCAGGAGTCCGGACACACAGGCGAAGCTGGCAACGAAAAAAAAGTATACATATGCTGCCTTTTTTCTAGGTCTGAGCTTGGTCAGTTTCGTTGTTCAGACCGAGACGGCGGTTTATATCCAGCATGAGATGGGGTGGAATAAGGCGTATTGTATGCTGTGAGTCTTCCTTGCGTTCCTCTCTCTGGAAAGCCAAATACTGACTATCTGCCTCAGATACCTAACACATGGCTCTTGGTCCTTACTATGGCCTTTCCAACTCCTCTGTCTCCGCCTCCAAAAATGGAACATGCCCTGGCATACCTTCTGGCGCCGACACGTATACCTCGTTCGAACTACAGCCCAAATGGTGGAGTTACAAGACCTCTCTATCCCCCGCGGCCAACACTCTCCAGTCCCATACATGCTGCGCAAAACTGCGCTGGTTACTTGCGCCCTAACAGTTGCAGGAGGTTCTTGGTACGTAGCTGTCAATATGACCTCGCCATCAGATCTCACAGCCATCTACAATTGCTCCGCATTCTTCGCCTATGCTTTCAGCGTCCCTATGCTGAAAGAAAAACTCCGCTTCGATAAATCCTTCGCAGTAATAGTGGCTATTGCAGGCGTTTTAATTGTAGCGTACGGAGACTCAACACCAACCAAACATGGTGGGAAATCTGGAGGCTCGGTAGGTGGAGGAGAGGAAAAAGAAGCTAGTAATCGAGTACTAGGGAATCTTATAATTGGTGTGGGGAGCGTGTTATACGGGTTCTACGAAGTCCTATATAAGAGACTTGCATGTCCACCGGAAGGAACAAGTCCAGGGAGAGGAATGATCTTTGCCAACACTTTCGGCTCCTTAATCGGCTCGTTCACGCTCCTAGTTCTATGGATTCCGCTTCCCATCCTACACTTCACAGGCCTAGAGAGATTCGAATTACCACATGGGAACACAGCCTGGCTCCTCCTGATCTCTGTCCTCTCCAATGCGACGTTTTCGGGCAGTTTTCTCGTACTCATCAGTCTCACTTCGCCCGTGCTCTCCAGCGTCGCTGCACTCCTCACAATATTCCTGGTCGCGATCGTAGACTGGTTATGGACCGGCGTTCCTTTAGCTCCTGCTGCGATTGCCGGGGGGATTTTAATTATAGCGGCATTCTTACTTTTGAGTTGGAGTACGTTTCGGGAGATGACCGAGGACAGAAGGAAAAAGCAGGTTGATTTGAGTGAGAGTGATGATAGTGATAAGGATTCAGATGATTAAGTGATTTGTGCCATGGGTTTGGTAATTTGCATTGTATTAATTGGGATCGACAGGTCGGCGTTTTCATCCAATGCATTTAGATAAATACGGGGTGGCTGTTTGTGATACTAGAAGGGAAGGAGGCTGAAGCTTGGATATACCCTTTGTTTAGACTTCCGCCACTATTCTATCATTCTCCAATGTTGTTCACCACTCATTGTGCTCGCCCAGTCCGTTTACGGTCTATTCCAATTAGGTAGTCCCTCTTCTGCACCTGTCTCTACTTTCTGGCCGGAGGTGATGTATTGATTAAGAGTATGCGGAAATTCGTTATGCGGGGTAGTCTCGTCTTACCAACCAAGTGGGAAGACTTGAATTACACCAAGCTGACTACACATGCTCCAAACAAGTGTCAATTGCGAAAAGAACATCCACTATCTATCTTGATTAAACTCCAAGCATGTGTGATTTTTCAGCTGATAAAGCTCATGGCTCATCTTCGAAGGGCGGCTCTTTATGCTTTGTCAGTCTCGGAGTTGTGGGTTCTTTCTCTCATTTGGTACTCCGTGTTGCTCTCCTAATCGTTCTTCAACATCGTAATCCGGATTAAAGATCATCACCAAGGATTGGAATAATAGAATTCAAAAAGGGAACATATAACAGGGGTCACTCACTGTATCTATCTTCTATATCATTCACAACTCAAACAGATTCAAACACCATCTCTCTTCCATCATGCTTATTCTAATCGCTGGAATCACTGGAACTCTTGGCCAACGCCTGGCTAACGTTGCCATCTCAAGAAGAATCTCAATCCGAGGTCTAGGTCGCAATCCCGACGCCCTCAGCCCCGAACTTTCTCCCCATCTTGAAGCATTCATAAAAAGCACCTCATACTACGACATCCCCGCTCTCGAAAAAGCAGTCAGCGGAGTCGATGCAGTCATTAACGCCTACGCACTAGTCCCAGTATTAGACCTTGACGGTCACCTCCTCCTTCTGCGCGTGGCCGAACGCGCCAACATCAAGATATCCATCGCCTCGTCCTGGAGCCGCGATTGGACAAATCTCAAGTTCGGAGATTTCGAGCACTACAATAACCATATTGCGTTCGAGCACCAGATCGCAACTACTCGATCCATCCGCCCTGCCTCCGTGCTCACTGGCCTGTTTGCTGATCTCTTCTATACACCGTATGGACCTGGGGGCTTCGACACGCGTGCTGAGAAGCCACGCATGAGGTACTGGGGCGCTGATGACGCCGGCGCCACCGACAAATGGCCGTGGAGCACGCAGGCCGATGCAGCGGAATACACGATCGACATGCTGCTCCACGGCAAGGGGGTCCGAGCTGGAGAAGGCGGCTTCTCCAGGATCCGTTCCGGAACGACTACTGTACGGGAACTCGCTGTAATGTATGAGAGAGTTCATGGAGTTCAGGTGGATGGTACGAGAGAGGGGAGTGTGGAAGAGCTTGAGGCGGAGCTAGCTAGGCTGAGGTTGTTGCAGAAGGGGAGGGCGGCGTATATTGAGTATATGTGGGAGGCGGCGGCGGTGGTTGCTAGTAAGGGATTGTGGGAAAATCCAGATGTTACGCTTCTGGAGCAGTTTAGGAAGCCGACTTCTCTGGAGGAATATTTTGAGGGTGAGAAGAACAAGGTGTAGGGTATTAAGTGGATTATGTTTTCTTTTCTTTTAAAGGCCGACGACTAGAGTTCTTTTCGTAGGAAAATAAAATGAGCATCTTTCATCTGCTTCGGCGTGTAGTGTGTACCTAATTGATGTGTTGTGATGTCCACCGGTACAGTATTACCGCTGCGTCGAGGCCCCTGAATCTTACCCCGCATTTAGCGTGTCAGCTCCATAACCATAGGGCTGACCCCTCAACTATAGGGGCTTCTGGCGAATATCAACCTGGTCCCAGATGGTTTACCAGAACCCCCCAGATCAAATCCAAACATTTTTCTACCTATAATGTTGACCTTATGTTGAAACTAGGCCAGAGAGTATTTGAATCAAATCAAATTGTAATGTGAAACTCCATCATCATCATCATCATCATACATCTCGTTAATACTAACACAATCTCCCAAAACCATCACTTGTCCTCCTCCTTCTTCCCACCACCCAACATCCCACCCACATATCCGCCCGCACCTTTCACGCCATCTGTCAGTGTACCCCCAGCCGCCTGAGCACCACCGACAACACCCTGCCCAGCACTCTGCGCACCGTTCGCAATGCCCGCCCCGGCGCCCTGAGCATTCTGGATCACAGGATCCGTCACACTCGATGCAGGACCACCGTACGAGCCCGTGCCGCTATCATCCTTCCCTCCACGCTCCGCTCGGTTGATGCCCTCTTTGGACGTCAAGTTCCCAATGGGCGCCAAGAGACCATTCTTTCCCACTTGGTTCCCGATCAGATTGTGGACGTCGTCTTGGATCTGGTCCACTTGTGGGATACCGGTTACTTTGGCCTTGTTGAGGGTGTCTGCACTTGATGTTAGTATATGCTATGCATAGTTCAGTGAGAAGGTAGGGGGGAAGTCACCTTTGGTGGCGTAGGAAGCTTTGTTGTCTGTTCCGAACCATTTGAGATATTGGTCTTCGATCCACGGCATCCATTTTTCGTATTGGTCGTTGTAGGCTTCTTTGGCCCATTCCGTGTATGTCTGCTTCTTCTTCTGCTCGTCTGAGAGGCCGTCGTAGATTTGCTTCTTTTGTTCCTCGGTGTGTTCTGGGGCTGAGGCTGAGCCCAGGCCGGTTGCGTTTTTGATAGCTTCCATTATTGATTTCTTGGGTCAATGTGTGATAAGTTAGATATTCTTCAAATGATGATAAGGAGCAGCTTCAACCTCAATATTCTAGAGAGATGATCATTTCTTATAAACATGTGGCCGTGCTTTCAGGTTTTTGTGGCTGATGATTATGACGTATCTTGATGTCTAAGAAGCCTGTTTCTGTAAATTGTGGTTCTTCGGTTGGTCTTTACATGGTCACAGGGATAATAGCAGGGTTTGAAATAACATCGCATTGTAATAAAATCATTGATTACTTGCTAAATCTAAAACAAATTTAGTAGGTACACAAGGCAGGTTTTTATGGTTTTCGTAGGTAGAACGTGAAAGGTGGATTTCAAGAAAAGTCACGTGTGTACTGAGAAGTTCGCTTGAATCAGGGGAAGAGAAGAAGGATTGACATTGAGTGCAGTTCTTAAATAAATAATAACATAGTCGCAATGCTTCTTAATTTGACGGAAGATCAAAGTCTTCAACCACGAGGCCCTCTACAGTAGATTAGGGTTTAGACCCATTGAAAGCTTATGCAGTAACTCGAAGACAGAAACTCGAATCAAGTAAACACTAAATATATCTTCCAGTTGATACACCTACTCAGTAAAGCACGTTTTTCTCCCACACAGACCTTGCGGTGAAACATCAACATCCGAATCAAAGATAACAGGACAGTTATGATTAGAAAGTCGTAGGAAAGAATGGCCCCCCAGCATACGTAAATGGTTTGTTTAACGAAGTTTCACGGAGCCCCTTTTCCTATACGGTATGCGATGAAACAGTGCAAACTCCATATTCCGGCCTGCATAAAACACGCATCTTGACAACCACGAGCGCCGCGAAACAAGTCATGAAAGAGGTCTTGTAATCTGCAGGAAAATCTTCTAGTTATAGGAACTTTCAATTCCTTCAGGATCATAATGAGGTAGAATGACTACGTGAATTAAGGATTTCATGATACATGTAAAGGCAGAGAAAAAGTATAAGAGTCGACACATCCACTGGCTCAGTGATTTAGTCCACATCATCAATCAATTCTTCATCAACATCTATCTCTACACTCTACTCAATTCAAATCAAATCACAAATCAAGTATTCCAAACTCCAATCTTCCCTCACTAAAATCAAGATGCGCGCCTCAATCATCATCCTCGCCTTGTGCTCATCGCTAGCCATCGCCTTCCCACCATTTGCACTATCTGATCGCGACCTTGTACTTGCTGGTCGAGGTGCCTGCGTAAGCCTCTCCCACCCACTTCCCCTCATCTTACTACATACATTAACCTAATGATTTTCTTGTTTAGGATTGCAACGAGGATGGTTGTAGTGCCAGTTCGGCAGCATGCTGTGCCAACGGAACTTGCTAGAGAATGTTTCAGGGGAGCAGAGGACGAGATGGATGATTCAATATCTACTGTGAAGGGCTAGATGTTGTAGTATAAATTGGTCGGGGATTAGAGCTGAACTCCTGGCGAGAAGGCATTGTGATATATATAAGCTTGTATTAGGATGGAAGATCTCGAGTTCTTTGGACATGAATAATAGACAATCAGCTGAAATGCAAATATTTGATTGGCTAAAACACTAATGTTCTGCGAAAGTTACTTAATAATTAAACAGATAAAAGAATGCTTAATATTTGCAAGGCGACTTATCAAACCAGACTTGACACTTTACCAAGGTGAACAGGAGTCACTTTATATAACATATTAGAAGAAGTATATGCTAGTATAGCGAGGGGAAAAGACTACCTGGGTAGGCACAATATAGTCTTTCTGAATTACACGTTATAGATTTGCAAAATTCAAATTTGTGCTGATATACAAGCGGATATATAGTAATATACTGCTCTCAGGAACGAAAGGTAAAAGAGAGTAAGATGCAACCGAATCCAATATATTTTATAAGAAGTGTTTATTATTTCTAGATTAGGTGGTTGACGTTGATACCCCTAGCCCCTATTTGATGCCTTGGTCCGTGTCCGTGTCAAGCTCAGACAGTGGCGCAAATACCGCCGCTCTCTTTCCTGCGCCTCGAGCCCAATCCTCTCATCTGCATCAAAAATGTCAACAGAAACCTCCCCTCTCAATCCAGAGCCGACAGACCCCGTCGATGAATACCTCGACCAGGAAAGGCGAAAGAAGAGAGATCCTCTCTACCTCCTCGTATTCTACTCCCTTTCCCTCGCCGTCTCGATTGGCGGATTCGCCTGCGCAACATGGGGATACATAATCGTAAGGACTGCGTCCTTCGACGAATACAGCAAGCAGGAAATGCGGGATAGCTACGAGAAATACTTTATCGGTATGGAGAGCGTCTGGATCCTGCTAGGCGTGAATGTCATCTGGACCGCGCTCAATCTGCGGGCCGCGTTCAAGGGAACCAACAATGAGCTATGGCCCATCAATATGGTGTACGACTTTGGGATATGGGGCATGTTGATCGCATTCGGGGTTTTGAATATGGTTGAAGCGCTCTGGGACAGGAACCTGTGTAGTGGGCATTGGCAGAATGAGGAGCTGTATAATAAGTGCGACATTGAGATGTTTAGGCTCTTGGTAGTTGAACTGGTGGCTGTGAATCTAGGTATTCTGGCTGCGTAAGTCCTGGACTCGAGGCCCAAGATCCCAACCTACTAACAGGAACGTCTTAGGGTCCTCCATTTCATCCTCCTAGTTGCTAGATGCTGTACCCAGGGACGCCGGAACGATATCACCATGGCTCGGTTGCTGAAGGCTCGGATCCGTGAAGAAGAGTATATACTATTGGGACTAGTAGAAAGGAGGGCACAACTCCTGCATGAAAACGAGGCATTGGAGACAGGGGCGGGATTTGATAGGCCATTACCTCCTGTTCCCGTGGAAATAATTGACGGGGATATCGACAACGTCCGCAATGGCAGTGTGGAAGAGGATCTTATAGATATGGCAGCCGAGGATAGGCCTACCCAAGCTTCTCGAGTAGATGTCGATGTCGAGGCCAGTGTTGTGGATTCTGTTCCAGGCGTCCAAAACACACCACCAACCCCAACCAAGTCGACTTGATATCAAAAATATAGATTGTCTACTACATGGTCCATCTTGAGAAGCGACCTTACGTGATATTTTTTTCATAATGGGACTTTCCAGTGGCTTGTTTAGCTATAATTATCCTATCTGTGGCTCGAAACCCACCAAGTTCGCCGAAGCAATATTAGGACCCCATCCATACTAAAAATTATCTGTAAGAATATTTCTATACTCTTTGCTGATGGTTGACTCGTGATTACAGGACACATTAGAAGTTTTTCCAGAGGCAGAGATGGAGGAAGAGCTAGCCAATACATTTGTGAAGCGACTCTGTGAATTTGGATTTACAATCTCAGTTGGTCGACCCCGCATTTACCCCACTACCCCTCGATTACCAATATAGCAACTTGAGATCCCGATCCTGCAACATTCCCAAGTAAGAACAATCGTCTCCAAGCTTTACTTTTCGTTCGCTAATCAGATTAAAGAATCACGTCTACTCAATATGGCTTCGTATTCGATTCTCGTCCTCCCCGGCGATGGCGTTGGTCCCGAAATCATACCCGAGGCTATCAAAGTCCTTGATCTCATCTCAGCTCACTCAAACGTCAAATTTAACTACGAAACAGCTCTGATGGGTGGTTGCAGCATAGATAAACATGGCGTAGCACTCACAGACGAGGTCCTTGAACTTGCAAAGAAAAGTGATGCAGTGCTATTTGGAAGTGTTGGAGGGCCGAAGTGGTAAGCTGGAACCTTGCAGTTCTGGTGCGACTGAATATTGATGAGCAATGGATAGGGGAGCAGGCAAAGTCCGCCCCGAACAAGGCGTCCTCACCCTGCGCAAAGAACTCAACGCCTTTGCTAACCTACGTCCCTGCCGCTTTGCTTCCAAATCACTCACTGATCTCTCCCCGCTAAAACCCTCTATCATTGAAGGGGCAGACTTCATGATTGTCCGCGAGAACTGCGGCGGTGCTTACTTTGGCACCAAGATTGAAGAAGACAACTTTGCTTCTGATCCTTGGCAGTATTCAAGAGAGGAGGTAGAAAGAGTTGCGCATGTCGCTGCTGCACTTGCATTACAACACGACCCACCCCAGCAGGTTATCAGCTGTGACAAGGCAAATGTGCTTGCGAGCAGCAGGCTTTGGAGGAGGGTTGTAAGTGAAGTGTTTGCAAAAAGTTATCCGCAGATCAAGTTGAGCCATCAGTTGGCAGATAGTGCGGCGATGTTGATGATGAAAGATCCGCGGAGCTTTAACGGGGTTGTGCTTGCGGACAACACGTGGGTTGCGAATAATTTCTGGTGGTGATGTACTGACGATGGGCAGATTTGGGGATATTTTGTCGGATATTAGTAGCGTTATTCCTGGGTCTCTTGGGCTCTTGCCTTCTGCTTCGCTGTCAAGCACCGGGAAGGACTCGAAGACTGTAGGAATCTATGAGCCTATTCATGGGAGTGCTCCAGATATTGCTGGCAAAGGCAAGTGACCCACCACCCAAGAACTAGTTAACTGACTCTTTCTCCAAGGCATTGCAAACCCCATCGCAACGATTCTGTCAGCTTCAATGATGTTGAGATATTCGTTCGGCCTTGTGTCAGAAGCTGAAGCGATTGACCGAGCCGTCAAGAAGGTCCTCGATGGCAAGAATATAGGGGGATTGGAAATCAGAACGCGGTAAGTTGTACACTATCAACTTCCTGCATTCTTTTACGAACCTCTGCAGCGACCTAGGCGGCACGGCTGGGACTGTCGAGATGGGGAAGGTGGTTAGGGAGGTTCTCCACAGTATCTTGCAGCGAAGCTCCCCAGGAGAGGCACAGTAGCGACGGCTGCAGCGCCTTCCAGAACAATATGCACGTAATACGGAGGTACAGTACGCCGCCGGCTAAGAGTTGACGGCATTGATCGGATTGGTGCCCTCACTCCTGTCACTGACAGCTTCTCGGATTCTTTCTATTTACACATTTGACTTTAAGCTACTGTATGTTTTCGAACATGAAGAGCCTAGGCTAGGTAGTTAGGAAATGAAGCCGCAGATTTTACGCGGCTATAGTCGGCTTTGAAGTCCTGGTTTTCTTCTGATTTTGAGCGGCTGAAAACGGAGCCGCACAAAGCTGGTGGCGTTGTTAGCTAGGATCACTTTTCAACACTTGTGTTGCCTGGTTGAGGCAAGACTTCGAGTTCTCTTGGCATGCATTGCTAACGGTTCGTATAAATAACACGGAACTTGGTGACCTGACAATATCGGCGAGAGATCACACGAGTACTCAGATAATACTGGTATAGCAATATTGGAAGACAACAATTCGGCGCTTCTTTGTTCAGCTCTGGCGCTTCTTCCTTCAGTTCTGACTCGCTTTCTAGAAATTTTCTCTTCCTTCTGGAGTTCTTCTAGAAGCACCAGAAGGAATGATCCCCGCTAATCGACGGCGCCACCGCGCCACGGCGCACTTAATCATGCAGCGCAGCCTAGCCTGCAGCGAGCATCCGCTATAGAAAACCGCATGTTACATGACTACATCGTAAATTACCTTCTGTATTCTGTACCTCTAGCAGCAGATTTGGCGGTATTACGAAGTATTATTGTTTACTTCGTTTAGAAATGCGAGCCTTGCGAAGTCATCTGGAATCGACTCAAGCCTTTAGAAGAAGGTGCTGGTCTTTCGGCGCTCGCCAAGATCATATATTTACGTAGTCAGCATACTTGGCATCACTTGGCATTTGCAAAACTGAGTCGATATATCAGTCCTTATTCGTTCTTTCTCGGTGGTGGCTCTAGCGACTGTTACAAAGACTCAGGGTTGTGGTTGATCTTAGCTAAAGTCGTCACTAGCCATCTTCAAGCTTCGACGGACTTTTTCTTCGCTCCCGGATTACCTCCTATCTCAGGCTTAATTTATGGAGATCGCGGTAACTGGTAAATATAGACTATGTAATCGCTATCTCACTGACTCTCACACCCCAACCACCAAGAAGAAGAACCCCTCTATCTTCCAGAAGAAAATACTTTATTCGGCGGCGGCGGATTCCTAGCCTGGCCCTCCCTGCCTGACTCTCAGACTCGGACTCGGACTCGTAAGATCTTACCATTATTACCTACAGGGAAACAATGACCACTCAAATGAAGAGTAATTATCTCTGTCATCATCAAAACCAGTTAGCAGCTTCAACCTGCCGGAGTAACGTTCCCTAATAGGCGCCCACCTTGATCTGCATGCAGCCTCGGGTCGGGCCCCATTAATCAATCTCATTGCTATAAACAACTCGGCCCTCCCTGAGGTCCAGCCTGACATTATCCTCTCGTTTCAGCATTGAACTCGACCAGAAATCAAGATGCCCGAACATGAGATGCAAACAGCAGAGCTGCATGAGCAGGTTGTGGAGCAGGAGCTTGCGAACAGGGAAAAGACCTCAGTCAACCCTGACAAGGTCAACCTCGACCTGGGCTTTGCGCAACCGGTTGCAGATGAGAAGAAAGCCATTGAGTCTCCTGTGTACGACTCGGAGACCGCTTACTCGGACACTCCTGATGACGAAGAGCCAAATGAGCACGAAAAAGTTGTTTTGAGAAGAAGTGCGTACATCTAACAATATATCACTGGACGCAATTCTAATAACTCGCAGTTGGCGAAAGTCTGCCAGTCGCAGCATGGCTGGTCGCCATTGTCGAGCTTTCTGAGCGCTTCACATACTACGGTTGCCAAGGTCTATTCCAAAACTACATCCAGAAACCACTGGATGGAAGTCTGGGACGAGGTGCATTAGGACAGGGTCACCAAACTGCCACTGCTTTAACGACGTTTTTCTCGCTTTGGTGTTACGGTAAGCTTCAAAGCCTCTCACTCGGTATAGATCACCACTGATGTAATAAAGTGACTCCAATCTTCGGTGCCATTGTTGCCGATCAGTACCTAGGCAAATATTGGACCATCGTCTGGTTTGGATGTGTCTATGTCGTTGGTCTTCTCATCCTATGGGTAACGGCTCTACCTGCATCCCTCGCAAATGGCGCAGGAATGGGTGGTTTCATTGCAGCTATTCTAATTATCGGTATTGGAACCGGTGGTATTAAATCAAACGTCGCTCCTTTGATTGCAGATCAATACACCCGGAAGAAGATGGCCGTCAAGACTCTCGTCAAGACTGGCGAGCGAGTCATCATCGACCCTGCCGTCACGATCCAAAGAATCTATCTAGTATTCTATTGCTGTATCAACCTGGGATCGCTGTCCCTGATTGCTACGCCTTATATGGAGCGTGATGTTGGATTCTGGTCCGCTTTCCTGATGTGTTTCTGCATGATGATTGTAGGACTCATTGTCGTGGTCCTAGGCCGGAAGTTCTATATCGTGCGACCACCTCAGGGCTCCGTCATCACCAACGCCTTCAAGGCCATCGGCATTATGATCAAGAACCGCAACATGAATGCACCCAAGCCATCCTACCAAGAGGAATTTGGCCGCACAGGCGCGGTATACCCATGGGACGATCTATTCATCGACGAGCTGAAGCGTGCACTGGTTGCTTGCCGTGTCTTCCTCTTCTACCCCATCTACTGGTTGGTGTATGGTCAGTTCTCCGGAAACTTCGTCTCGCAGGCCGGGCAGATGCGTCTCCATGGCATCCCCAACGACTTGCCGCAGAACTTCGACCCGATCTCTATCCTCTTCTTCGCACCTATCATGGATCGTCTGGTATACCCCCTGTTACAGAAACATCACATCAAGTTCCGTCCCATCGCCCGTATCACCTTTGGCTTCATCATTGCCTCGACATCTATGCTTTACGCAGGCGTTCTGCAACATTTCATCTACAAACAGGGGCCATGTTATGACAAGCCGCTTTGCGATGCTAGTCTTGTCAACGGCGTGAATATCGGAAACAATATCCACATCGCGATCCAAGTCCCAGCATACATGCTCATCGGTATCTCCGAGATCTTCGCGTCCGTCACAGGTCTCGAATACGCATACATGAAGGCTCCTCCTAGCATGAAGTCTTTTGTGCAATCCATGTACCTGCTCACCAACGCCTTCGGGTACGCTTTGGGAGAGGCGTTTACGCCGCTTGTGGGTGATCCACAAGTCGAGTGGTTGTTCGTGGGTCTTTGTGTGGGCAGTTTCTGCGTAGGTGTGGTATTCTGGATCTTGTATCGTTCGTTAGACAAGTTAGAGGACGAGATGAATAGTTTAGATGCGAAGCATGACGAGCTGGAGCACAAGCATGAGCTAGAGGCAACGGGTGTGGATATGCCTGTTAGTGGGGATGCCCACAGGGTTAATCAAAAGGCCGAGTAGAGTTGGAAGCTAAAAGTATATTAATGTGTGATGAGAGATAATTGACGCATGATGAATGGCTAAACCAAGACTTATTGATTTTTCACTCCACGTGAGACTTTCCGTGACTGCTTCTTTCATACCCGATATAAGCGTTTCCGATTCAATGCCTCTTGTCTTATTGTGCGCTATGGCCTTAGGACCAAATAACCTACATGAAAGACAGTACCAAGTACGAGAGTAGTACCTCCACTGTCTATCACTCAATGTGCAAGGGGGGCAATTCATTAAGCATCGATTCGGAAACTCAGAGTCAGGGCCTTGACAATGCACTGAAGAGTACGAGCCTTGGAGGAGAGGAAAGGGATTTGAATGACAGGATCAAGAACATATCGCTATTACCTGTTGACCCAGATACTGAGGGATTCAGTTCGCCAAGTATTGGAAGGGGGAAGGGTAGAGTGGATCTTTCCAAAGACAGCGAGAAGTAAAAGGATAAAAGGAATAGATTTCCATTTGACGAAGATGCTGAGCGTACATGCACTAGTCGGTTGCAATTATGTTTGTTACGTTAGGAAATACACGAAAATGATAGTTATCTTTAGTAAATACCAGTCTTGATTGGTATCCGCCGCTGGAATCCGAATCGACGAATTCAGACAAGGTTCTTTCGTTGTGGCCTATGATTATACTAGAGCCCTTTGAACCACTCATGCTGGAGCAATTCAGCCGTCGATGGCCGCGAATCGGGTTGCCATTGCAGCATTTGCTGAACTAAATCTACAAAGACGTCCATATCGAGGGCCGACATATCGAGAGGCTTTCTTCTCCTGGCATGATGCCAGATGTTACCGTACTCGAAGTCATCCGGGCCATAGACCTGCTGATCATGCTCTTGCATGTCTAATGCGACCCCATCCGGGTTTAAAAAGCTGTCAGCATCGGGCCACTTTGCCCGAATAGTAGGTGGAACTGGACCTAGACGTTGAACAAGGTCACGCAATAGTCGATTGTTCTGGTAAGTACGGTGCGGATCATGAGAGCTGAATTGCGCCTCAACTAAGCGGCGGAGCATAACAGCTTCCCAGAATAAAAGACCAAGAGAGAAAATGTCAGCCTTGTGTGTTGCCGGTATACCAAGCAGTAACTCCGGTGGCCTGAAGTCTGATAAATTATACAAGGGACGTTTTTCGCATTCATCGAAGGAACAGGAAAATCCGAGGTCGACGAGAACAACCCTGGATGAATCATCCAACTGTAGTGAATCATTAAGGGGAGTTGCTGCTACGGTATACTGAATTTCGTTCGGCTTTAACGACTTGCCATCCTTTCGTCGCAGCAATTCGATGTCATGCCGCGAGCTGAAGAGGTTTGCTTTGTCCCATTCAATAGAAAATGGCCCAGCCAGTCTGTTGCCTTCTTCACACGACTGCCAGTGCGCTCCAACAAGCTTTTTGGCTTCATCGGATTCCCTTTGCCACGAGTCTTGAGACCCGTCATCAGAATCCGAGGAAGTAACTTCGTCTTCGGGACTTAGTTCTGTACGGTTACTACTCTGATTTTCTTCGGTTTCTTCACCCGGATGGCGTGATACTATTTCCACATCTTCAGGCCAAACAGCTCTCTGAATTTCGTTTTCAAGTAGCGATGAGAGGTCGTAGCTCAAGGCCATACAAAAGTTTGCTGGCTGAATATCCCGATGAGCTATGCCTTGTCTGTGAAGATAACCAAGACCTAAAAGCATCTGCCGACATGTTTGTTTGGCGAGTTGAGCAGACCAGGGGTCGCCTTCCAGCACTTTTCCTAGCCAGCTTTCCGGCTCGTTAAGCTGCGCACGCTTTTCAAAGGCAGTTTCGGAGACATCACGAAATGATGATCCCAAAGGCTCAAGTACCTTGCAGAAGTGGTGTCCATTGGGTCCATGGACCACAAATGAGTCGAGAGCTAGCTCTACGTGTTGCATTCCCGGGTGATTGGACGGCTGTATTAGTCTGTCGAGCTTGAGTTAGACCTCGCTCATTTTAGCACCGAATACTTTGATAGCAACGAAGCGTCGCTTTGGAGTACTGCGCAGGGTTAGCAATGTGGAGTAGAATTGGTTAAATCACTTGCCTTATGTCCTTTGCTAGCCAGACCGTGGACTGAGATCCAGCACCAAGCTTGCGAAAGACACAATAATGGCCATTGAGAGTGTCACCCAGGTGCAACGGGTGGAACTTGCCTGGTACGTAGTTCTCTGGACTTTCCTAGAGTATGTCAGTACACAACACGCTCTCTTTTAGACAGCAGTACCGACGCCCATGATGCGATTGTTGACGTATATCCTATCTGAAGCCATCCCGGGAATTAAAGCACTCTGCCTCAGACACGATCTTGTGCTGTTGATGTTTTTGGTGTACTAGGATCTTACGAGTTAATAGAGGTTATTATTATTTTAGCGGCGTGTCCGTCCACTTTAGCTTAGCGGCGGGCGCTAAATGACACCCCTGAATTTAGCGACTGAGAAATCCAGGAAGTCCTAGTCCTATTAACTTTTAATGTTCTTGTTATGTAGCATATTAATTAGATGCCGATTTCTTTCTTCCTACTAGGACGTTTATTCTTTTTATCAAGTTAGCCGTAAAACACTATATGAGTTAATTTACCCACGGAACTTATATAGTAAACAAGGCCAAATACATGAATACATTTTGCACAATGCTACGGCTTGCGCTAATTGAACGCAAATTATAACGATTTAGACTATAACTAAAGTCATATAATATGAAATAGAGAGGATACAAATCACATGTCTAATAGGCTAGTCAATCGACTTCGGTTTTGTGGTGGTATATGTCACAGTTAAGATTTATCCTTCTAAAACGACAAAGTTCATCCCTTTCTTAATTCTCTACTTGAAATCCTAAAGTTATGGCTTTGCTTCCAGTGTGTTTTGAATCCACGCCAGTTTCTCAGCATCTACACCAGTAGGGTATCGCCACTGGAGACTATCTTCTGCACCTGAAGGAACTGAAACAACACTTTTTCTATGACTACAAGAGTCAAAACCAGCCTGGCCGCGGTACGCTCCTATTCCACTTCTACCTACACCACCAAACGGTAGATTAGGAACGGCAATCTGTGTCATCGTATCATTGATGGCAACTCCCCCGGATCTCGTATTTCGCAGAACGTACTCCACCTCGTTAGAGTCTTCCGTCATTAAATAGAGACCTAATGGATCCTCTAAAATCTGAGAGACGAGGTCGCATGCCTCTTCAAGTGACGAAAATGAGATTACTGGAAGAATGGGTCCAAATATCTCATCTGACATTAGAGCATCATCCAGGGATACATTACTGACAACTGTCGGCTCGATGAAGAGTGTTTTTTCGTCCCCATGACCTCCAGCTATGATGTTGCCTCTTGTTCTTTTGAGAAGGTCGGTAACACGTTCCCAATGCCGTAAGTTTACCATTCTTCCCATTTTGCCTTCGGCTTGCGGCTTTCCTTGATAGAAACGTCTGATGACTTGCTGCAATGCGTTTAGAAATTCATCTTTCACGCACTCCTCAACCATTGCGTAATCCGGCGCGACACATGTTTGCCCTGCACATGCGAATCTGCCATATACAATTCTTGTAGCTGCTACCATGATATCTGCGCTTTTTGTGACGATCACGGGACTCTTTCCTCCCAACTCCAAGGTAACAGGTGTGAGATGCTGTGCAGCCGCATGCAAAACAATGCGGCCGACATTTGCGCCTCCTGTATAGCAGATATGCCCAAACTTCTCTTTCAAAAGTGCTGTTACCACTGGTTCTCCGCCATTAATAACACGATAGCAACTTTGATCGAGATAACGTGGTACTAAGTTGGCGAGTGCCATTGCAGTGGCAGGCGCAAGTTCACTTGGCTTCATAATTCCAGTATTCCCAGCAGCGATAACTGCAAGAAATGGGGCTGCTACTAGAACAAAGGGATAGTTCCAGGCTCTAGAACGGATGTCAAAAACAGTCATTCATAGAATATGATTCTCACGTACCCAATGACTAAACAAGCACCCAATGGTTGTTTGTGTATGGTAGGGGAGAAATTTTTATACTCGAGGGGAATATCCGGAGCGCATTCGGAAGCTAGCCAGGTGTCCATATTCGTTAACGTGTGGACAATTTCATTTTTGATAGACATCAACTCCATTACTTGAGCCTCAATGACAGGCTTTCCCAGATCTTGAAACAAGCATTGTTGCAGCTCTACTTCATTCTCCTATATTACGACAGTTAGCGGATTTGAGAGCATCGTTGCAGACAGGAGACGAACATCAATGAGCTTCCAGAACTGCTTTAGTTGGTTCTTTCTGAAGGCAATATCTCTCGTCTTCCCAAGCTTAAATGTTGTTTGTAGAGACTTTACTACGGATGGGATATCGTGTAGTGGGGTTGCCGTAAATTTGTTCATATTGACTGCGACCGAATTTGCAAAATGTGGGATTACCAAAGGTACGGATCGGAGTTAAAAGACGGGAAGCAGTTTAAATTAAGAAATATCACGAGGGTGGGGTTAAGTCGATCGTTACCCTGAACTCATATCTACTGAGTGGGGCTCCTGTCTTATTTGCTTCTAGGGCAATCCTCTTCCTTTGGTCATGATCACATGTTGGTTACGGCACGTACTATAAGTTTAGATAGTGAAATGGACTGCATTTCACAAGATGTAGGATGCCAGACCGGTAGCACGAAACGGCATCCTCTATTATACTTCTAACATCTGGGTTTTTAAACGCGGTATTACAAGGAAATCGAGATGCAGTTCTAGGATGCGAGGGTGTTTTCAGCCTACCGTAGCAGTTTCGAGTATCCTCTTGGCGCCTCCTAGAACTCTATTACAATATGTTAAATTTAATTAAAAATTTAGAAATTTATATATAATTAATTCTAATTAATAAAAAA